CTCTTATGAGTTACAGTTTGAAGGAAAGGACACATTGGGTAATTCAGTTAGAGAACTGTCTTTTGTCTAACACTCACACTGTTTCCAGGTGGTATTTTCATTACTGCTCAGTGGAGGCTGGCAATTTTTCAGTCTTTCTATCCAAGTTCAGTAAAGACATGCTGAAATGATGTCAAAGCCAGGGGACACTCTGCATAACAATGTAGTACTATCACCTTTCCTCTGCAGTCTGACATTGCAGAGCTACGTGAGTGTATAATATATAACATCTACCAGACAAGTCAGATGCAAGCATGTGCAGACGTTGAAGACGTTGAATATTACTGATTCAGAGAAGGCACTCAAAATTATCCTAATTACCTCTCTGTATGGCAGTGAGCATCACTTAATGGCCCAGCAGCAACTACACAGTAGCCCTCAAAGCAGGCCCTGGGCAGAATAACTCCACAGAAGATTGAAGGCAGCACTATGTTATCCTAACAAACCAACCTGTACATGGAGATAAATGCTAACAGCCAAGGGAATGCTATCAGGTAAAGCAGGTCTCCAAAATATGGTTATGCAGCAAAATACTGTCTTTGGTTTTGTTTACTCAAACAGCTCAGTCCTGGGTGCTCCATCAAAAAGTAAGAAACAGGACAGGAAAAGCAGAACGGCTTGTTTTCTCAGAAATCCAGCTCTGCTGAAACATTAAAAGGGAATTCTACTATTCAATCCCAGCAAAACCAGGACAACCAAGGAGAAAAAATAAGAAAACAGTCAAGTATATTAGTGTTTTCTGATATATGGCAGCCAGCAACAAAGTAGTTCAATACCTTAAATAAAAATGCACTTCCTTTGTATTAGAAGTAGAATACAAGACACTCCCTAAAATAAAAATCTATGTAAATTAAACAGACACTAAAAGGAAAGTGTTTACATAAAGCTGTATGCACAGGAGGTTCCACTTCAATTTGAGGATAAACTTCTTCTCAGTGAGGGTGCCAGAGCACTGGCCCAGGCTGCCCAGAGAGGTTGTGGAGTCTCCTTCTCTGCAGACATTCAAAACCCGCCTGGACGCCTTCCTGTGTAACCTCATCTGGGTGTTTCTGCTCCGGCAGGGGGATTGGACTGGATGAGCTTTGGAGGTCCCTTCCAATCCCTAACGGTCTGGGATTCTGTGTAATACAGCTAGAAACATTTTAATTATGATGTGTATGTTCTTTAAAAGCAAAGTGTCAAACATATATTCTTACATATTCAGAAAACAACAGCGTTCTCCTAATATGAAACCCCTTATCTTAAGAACTGAAGAAGAATGTGCTATTCAGATCAGAAAACAGAAAAAAACTTATTTTGCTGTGGAACAATCTAAGGCAAAAACGTAGATTCTTTAACATGCAGTAGCACTAGGTCCCGCATCCCCACCAAGCGCACACTGGCAGTGGAGAGTAAATCAGTTGTTCCCCTTTCATCCGGCTGTCACCGCACCTACAGCCAGCAGACAGAAAAAAAATCCACAACAAATGTAGTACACCATAACCACAAGATATGTGCCACTCAGCAGTCACAAGGAAAATGCTGATTCCGTACCACAGTGACTGTTTCCTAATGAAGGAACAGCTTCATAATGGAGTGATGTTAAATTGACTTCACTGCAAAAGCAGGACGCCATCTAATTTACCACTGGAACTGAGCTTTATTATCAGATATCAACACACTTATCATATACCTGTCCTCTTACTCAATGATGAGGGAGAGAGGAGAGTATGTGAATGTATGTGAAGGAAAATCAGTCTTTGCTCAGTAAGTGATTTTCTCTAAACACTCGTCTCTGTTGTCCCAAAGCATCTAGACAACAACAAATGCTCAAAGTCTAACTAAAGATAGATGCTAGCAAAACTAAAATAAATGAAATAATAATAAATAAAATACCTTTATCTAAAAATATTTCATTTTGTAAACAAGTAATGCATAATGACCATCTATGCCTGTCTTTACAGCTTTACAGTGACGAGAAGGGGAGCTGCAGAAGCTGCTCATGTCCTAGTATGTTTGAGCTGGAAGTCTTCTACAAGCTCCAACACACCTTCATCCTTCAAAACCGTGACGATAAACTCCAAGTTGGAAACAGATATTGTTCATTGCTTAGGCAACCGCTACAACCAAAGAAGCTCACAAAGATTTAGTTCTCTCTATTGAGAAGGAGAAAGTGCTCTTAATGTCCAGTCATGCAGCCTAGTTCTTATTTACTTTCATGAGTGTCAGAGGAAGGAAAAAAGATAACATAAGCAACTAACAAAAAGACGACTTGGTTTAAATGAACACCCTTCACAATCGCAGACTGAAAGCACAGGGATGTCCAGGCAGTATGTTAGAAGGACTGAAAATCTTAAGTATGACAGAGATCTGCCGGAAAAATTGACATTGCCTCTTAGGTGGATGGAATAAAGACAGGAGAGCTTCAACAGCAGCAAGGCAAAAATCTCAGACGCATAGGGAAGGCCACATGAAAATTACAACAATGTCCATGGCAAAAGTGGCACCTGAAAATGGTTAAATCACTTCAGGAATTCAAGTAATATAAAGATGTAAAAAGCTACGTGTTTTTACAGAATTACAATCTGAAAAATAGCAGCTAACAATCACACTGAACCAAGCTAATAAATACTCCTCACATCTCCCAGAAAGGAGCTGCTCTGAAGCAGTAACTGAACTATGGGCTAACCAGGGATGGAAAAACTTCTGCGCACAGCGAGACCTAAAATGATTGGAAAACTTCTACAGCATATCCATCCACCAGGAGACAGTGGTGAGTACAGTTCAATTACCAGGCGTGAAATAAATGCCTCAAATACATATATTGAAGAGATGCATCACTTCACATCAATACAGAAGTAATGTAAACAAAAAATGAAACAAGAGTGTATGTACAAAAACATTTTGGAAACCTGCTCCGAGATGAACGTAAGGAAGTTACTGAGAATGTCACTATCAGGACAGGCTAACTTAAAGACAACCTGTAAGAACTTATGACCTATACTGAAAGATCTGATATAATACATATATGCTTATAGTACAGTGCTAAAACCTGCTTACTATGAAATTAAGGGTGCTCTATGAAGACATGCCTTTCTGTGTGCTTTTGATAATATAAACCTTCATGCAATTTTCAGGACTGCTAGGCTAGACCAGATACTTCTATGTTAAGTTCTAAAATGTATCTATCCTTACATCTCATACAGATTTCCTTCACCTGAAAAAAATAAAACCTGACAGGTACTTAGAGAGACCCAGTGGTACAAGAGAACAAGAGAGAAGAAACCAGTGTGAGCGAGATTTCTCTCAAACAACTGCAGCACTGTAAATCTCTTTTACTGCAAGAAGCACCCGATGTCTTCTCCAGCATCTTCTCTTCTGTTTCATATGAGAAGGAATAAAGCCAAGCAACAGTTTCCTATAGCTTCGATAAGGATACTTGGAAACACACACACACACACACACACACACACTAAATGAAAAACATGCAGACAAGTTGGACCTACCCTATCTGACCAGATGTACATTTATAAATTCACACTTAGAGGAAACAGGGACTGAATTTAACAGAATTACATGCTGACTTTGGAAACACTACAAAATACTTTTGAAATAGAGATTTTTAATGTGTCAGGAGCTCTACAGTTTTGCTCATTTTGAATACTTTATTTGAATAAAATAAACAGAGAAACTGTGTTTCGTTTCCTACCAGCCAAAGCTGCATCCTCGTCACTTTCTGACCCATATTGCAATGCCATGGTTATTGCTGATAAACGATCCCCTTGGGCTGATCTTTTGTTACTGTAAGAAAGAAAAAAAAAAGTGCAAAATTAAAGAAAAGAGGTGATGTTAACCATCACCAGTCACCCAGAGTGCGTAAGTGAACAAGCGAGGCTCATGGCTATTGCCTGCGTTATCAGGAATGCAGATATGGCTATGCAAGAAAAGACTGGAGCTCTTAACAAGAGAAACTGTTAACGACCCATGTATTCTAAGAAGCATCCATCAAACTGAAAAACTGGACACACAATCAGAAGCCTAGAGCTCAATTTATCTATCTTCTGTCCTACTTTGAATACTTGAGTATTTGAATTATTGGGGAGAAGAAGGATGATAAAAAGTCCCTCCCAATTAATAAATGTATTTGCTCCTGTTTTACAGGGATTTGTCCAAGCGCAGAACTCAACATGCTGTAAGCTGTATACGCTATCTGCTCTCATTCCCCATCCGAGTGCCTGGATGTGAGCAGTTTGCTCTCTCAGTGGCACAAATCAGCAACCACGCTGGCTACGTCTCACAAAGACTTCTTCAGCATTCCTCTCTTCGCGTCTTCTGCCCCAAATCTGTGGCACAGCATTTTGCACCTCCACTGTAGACTATGCCCGACAATCTGCTTTCCACTAGGTCACCTCTTTAGGCACCTCCAGCAATGGGCTCAACCTTTCCCTCCGAGAGAAAAGTGAACACTAGGAAAAAGCAGATGGGTTGCGTTAAATGACACCAACTCTGTACCAAGAGTCAATCCCCTAAGGATCCTTGCAGCTGCTGTGTCAAACCACGGTTTCAGAGCACACACATGCAGGGAATCAGCCAGGAGCAGTACTCTTTCAAGAGAGTATCCCACAGAGTGCAGACATGAGACCTCTGCTAGGTACCAAAATTCTCTGGTGACCGAAAGAAGAAACCAGAAAGCCTACAGTAATCCAGTGTACCCCGCAAGTCTGCCACAAATGCATCTCAGATGCAATGCAATGTTTTTACAGGCATCATTGGTTTCCATTGTCCACCTCTTTATTATTTAGTCCTATGTATTATTCCTTTTTAGTTTTCCATGTTATCTTTCACCTGCTTTATTTTGTAATGAAGCTTAACATGTTGTTCTTCAGAACACTTCTAAGGAAATAATTGCATACAGCGTATTTCATGACAGGCGTTTTGAAATATTAAATATAAAATCAAAGACAGAAGAGTAACTATGGCAAAGTAACTTATTAAATCGTACTTGAGAGATATTTGACTGAAATATATTTGAATCTCAAATACTGAAATATCGACGAGCACTCAACTAAAAAAAAAATAAAACATACCCACCAAAATTTTAAATTTTATAATTTCCATATATTGATGACCCAGCTTTTCCTCCAAGTCCACAATTTACTTACCGATAATATTTGTTAGAAGAATTTCTCTCATCACCAACACTGCCTTTACCCTGTGAGGAAGGACCTGTCAGCTTGGAAGCAGTCAAATTTGATGGAGTCCTTAAGGCAGAAGAGACAAGCCAAGGAAAGGGGAAAAAAAGATGCCCACCTTAGACCCAAGAAAAGACGCAGCAAGGATAAAGCTTTTTGCAGAATTACTTCGAGAGATCAGCCAAAAGGTTCAGAGACAGATACAAAACGTTTTAAAGCTAAAAGTCAAGTCATACTAAGATACATTTAGTGCCCCAGCATTAATACTGATTTTGTTTATGAGAGTCAGAGGAAGGTAACATTTAGACTGAGGATGAATAGCTATACACACAGCTCAGCCTACAAGAGCAATGAAAGCAGCCAACAAAATGTTCCTTAGCATCCAGATAAAGCTAATCGTACAGATCTCATCATGGTTCATCGATACTGAGCAAAATCACGGTCAAGTCGCTTCAGCGCATGTTGTCAGCAACTTTATTTTGTCACTGTATGTAAGGGAGGACAGTTAAATGCACCAACAAAGAGCAATTCAGTTTGACAAAGGATACAATGGACTCTGTGGCAGAAAAGCATGGGTTCTGGCACAGAGGTAACATGTCTGCAGAAACCAGGTTAGTAGTGTTGTGATGAATTTAAGCCTGATGCACCACCACCACAGAAAAACAGATGTAAATCCAGAAAAAAATACACTAGATTTACTTCAGATGAACTAGTGGGGGCATTTTACCAAAATCAGGAACAGGTAAAAGCGAATCCCCTTGAGACAATTAAGCAGTTAGGAATTTAAATAAAAACAATGATTCTGTGATGCAGATTCAGCATAAAGAAACAAACAAACAAACAAGGAATAATAGCTCAATTGAAGAAGCAAGCACTGAAATGCAGAACAGCAGGTGGAAGTTTCTGTTTTCATGATACTTTTGTCCCACTCCAAATTCCTTTGCCTTCAGCCCAGTATTACTGCTGCCTGCAGCAGGCTTTGTTTTTTCCAGGTTAGAGAAACAAAGACGAGAGTTGTCAATTATTCTGACACTCAGCTTAGTTCAGGACCTGCAGGCCTACTGAGAACACAGTACGTAAGAGAACATCTACAATAAGGCAGCTGAGAAGTGGAAATGGGTTGGCAGTGCAAGAGAGGAATTCAGCTAACAAATATCGGTGTGATTTATCTGTCATCCCTTCTTACGCAAACAGCTTTATTTTGAAGAAAAAAGTGAAGCCTCAAAATTAAACAAGACACACACTGATGACATCCCGAGTTTCAGCAATGGCCAACACAGAAAACCAAAACAAAAATCACAAATTAAATAGAAAACCTCCATGCCTGTATGTCATTGCAGTTACTGTAAAGCAAACACACGCATTCAGTGCCTGCAGAATCAATGTCTTCTGGCACTATACATACTTTTAAGAAGAAAAATTATCAAAATGTGCGTCAGGAATTGCACTGGAACAGTACAGATATTTTATATGCTCCAATGACGGTTCACCCAAACATGGGAAGCACGCTCATGCTGAACAAATGAACTAGAAAAACCATTACAGAGGTTGAACTTCTCAAAGTACCAAATAGTAAAAATCCATCAGGTAACTTCCATTTCTTTCACACATAATAATCATAGGCAACACTTTTAATACTGACGTGCATTTTTCAGACAACAAAAAAATTTCACCTGTCTTTCAGTAAAGTAAGGGAGTACTGTAGTTCTCAGTTGTACCATATAAACCTTTGCAGTTACTTTCCAGCATCAAATACCGGCAAACAGCTCAAACACATAAAGAGTCCACCTTGTAGATACTTTGCTAACTCCTTGAATGACTTGCAAGACATTGCTTTATTTTTTTAGATAAATTACACAGCTCATACGAGCAAACAATATCTAAACCTACTTTTGAGTACTACTCGAAAGCAGAAAGTTTATACAAAAATAATTTCAATTGCATTTCAGTTAAGAAAAATGACTGCATCACTTCTCTGTACAGCACAGACTTTCACGGGAAGAAAATGCTGTTTCCTAAATAAAATCAATCCATGAAACAAACAGAGCTACCAACCATGTTTCATGGTTGGCCTGTTCAAGACCAAAGCTATGCTTCCCTAATGAAGAAGTGCAGATCTTCAGTGTTCTGCGCCTCTTTTCATAGCTAGAAACTGGTTTTCAAACAAGAGTTTACATAATATGGACTTCCCTTCTAAATATCCCCTCTGATGTCTTGTTCCTGTGTTTCTACCTCTACCCAATTAACTGTGAGCTCTTATGTTTCAGCTCCTAACAAGGTTCAAGAATATCCATCATCAAGCAAAGCACCTTGTTCCTCACTGTTCCTTTTCTGGTTTTAAGTTATAAACACTTACGGTGGAAGCTGGTCGTAGCTTAAGTTATAAAAGATTCACTGAAACTGATTTTCACAATCAAGTACATCACATCAACATGTCACCACAGTATTTCAACTAGAAGTTTCCTTCCAAAAGCTATTTTATGATTCATAACGTTAAAACAGTAATAAACTAAGTTTTCAAGCAATTATCTCTCACTATATTCTCTAGAGCAAAATTAAGGGAATGCCTATAGACATTTTTATAAGAGATTATAAAAGGAATTCTATTTGCAGTACCTGATTCGGAGACTTGACTTGGCCAATTCACTGTGTTCAATTTCAGCCTTTTTCATATTAAATATTTTTTTAATCGCATTTGCATCCTGTCAATTAAAAGAATTTTTTTGTTTAATGTTGAAAGTGAAGAATGTTACAGTCGGGCACATCCATCTATCTAAACATCTAAAACAAAAACGAAGGGGTTTTTGCTTTTAGGATAAAAAACATTTTCGCATCAGAAAGGAAGCACAGAACAAAGTCTGCCTGAAATACACCCACAGTGGCCTGTGAGAACCAAACTGAACAGCTGAGTAGCTTTGAGCTCATCTTCTGTCTCATCCTTAAAAAAAACCCATTACAATTTGCAAATGCAGACAAACACAACTTCAAACTGAACAGACAAATGAGGTTTTGTGCCTTTGCAATCAACAAGCTACTACCATTAACGAGCTTTCCACTGCTTGCTTTCTCTCATTCCATACCTGTGGACTCAATACTTGGAATAAGAGTTCACAAAGCAGAGACTGTAAGTTCTGAGTGAGGTCACAAGTATAAGCAATGTTGGTAGGAACCGAAACTACAATCCAAACTGATGTGCAACTGGCAAAGTCCAAGGACCACTTACACAGTAACATTTTATGCACACACACACACACACACACACACGGTCTCTCACTACAAAGCCCTTAAAAACCAAGCACACAGGAATAATTTACCACAGAAATTCTCCTACTTCCAGAGTACGTGGAAACAGCAATGTGATAATTTGTACACAAAATGCTGGTGAACTAAATACAAAAAAGATAGAAGCTCCAATTTGGTCACAAAAATATGGCTAAAAGGAAGAGGATCTTCAAAAACTATGCAAAGAAAGTATGACTCTCATCTTCAAGCTTATGATGAAAATCCTAACCAGTTCCTGCAATCTGAAGAGAGGTAGCAGCTGCGTACTACCACTATCATTTGAACCCGTAGTTTCAGCCATTCCAACTTCAATCACTGCTACAGAGGATCCTCTGTTCCTGCAAGTCATGTAACTCATATCCAGAGATAAATTTTAATTGGAAAAAAATCATATACCTCAAGAAAAAAAACCCCAAACATTACATACACCTCAATTATACCAACAGCAATATAAAAAAGGAAAAGCCACTAACAGCTATTTTTAAAAAAATGCAATCAGTCTTTAGGGCCTTATGCTAAGGATCAATCAGCACAAAAAGCAGTAAAGAACATCTGAACTCAAACCAAATTATGAACAACTGAGACTAACCTTGAATACTTGTGAACCAGGCTCATTGTAAGTTTTGGCATTCTTTGCCAGCAGATCTATATCCTTGGCCATTGCATGAATGCTTTTATAAGTTCCATTCTATACAGCAAAAAAACAGTTAAGGGTTAAAGAGGCAATTTTCAGACAGCAGGAGAACTAAGTCAGTAGTGAAAAGCAAAGGCAATTCATCTAGAATAAAGGGAACATTTATAGAAAAACACAAACATATTTATAAAGAGAACAGATATGTGGAACGAGTAATCAGGAAAAGAAAGTAACAAACATAAGTGCCAAGTCCTTACAGTGCTCATGAATGCTAAGTATAAGATTGAAAAAATATGTAAAATGTTAGATTATCTTGATGCTGAAGGGTTCTGACAAAATGTTATTTTACCTTCATTCTCTAGTTCAATTTGTGTGCTATCCCTCACTATTACACAAAATGCTAGAATTACAGAACAATATTTCAACTTAGAGAAGTAAGATGAAAAATGCATCAGTACAAACCATCTATTTATAGCACTAGAACAAAAGTAGGTGATGACAATGCACAAGCAAGCTTCAATACCTCGATGTTTTACATTAGCAGAACCTGCCAAGGAACTGCTTTAAACCATTAAACATCAAGATACTCAGGCTCAGTGCCAGCACACTACAGCTCACAGTGCTTCATCTTCAGCAGCTGCTTCTGCAGCACTAACCCAGGACAGAACACTGAATCAGCATAGCGTTCGGATTTTCAGAGTAGCAGAGGAAAAACACACTGCCCTTGCTACTACCATAAACTTTGGTTCCTAACAATTTTAGAATGCTTACTGTTAAACAAGTCTATACTATAACACAGTAACATGCTCACACTGTACCTGTATCCTTTGGGCAATAGTTTTAAGATCTATGGGCTCCTTTATTATTGCATAATAATCTGGATATTGCTGGAAAACAAAAATAATTCATGTATTACTATAAATAGTCACAAAGTTATTGTTCTAATAGCTCATAAAAGGAGCTCTTAGATGAACTGCAGAGAAGAACAGCGTAAGCATCATAAACATAGCTCCAGGCTTCGTTTTGGGCAAGCAAGATCATTAGCCAGATACAAGGAATTAACCAATACATTCATCACTAAATTGACATAAAGGAATAGTTCTGTCTGAAAGCCAAATACATGGCGATGGTCTTCAGACTATTTCTTTTGCTGATTAAAGTTGTTACACCCCGAAACATAACAGTGAAATCAGGCATATTTTAAAAGATTAAAAACTCTGCATCAAAAAACCCCAATTACGTGCACTGGCAGAACAGAGCACTCCTCAGTCTGCAATGAAGGGCTGGGAACCAGTGGGTAAGGGCAAGGAAGGAAGCGAAGCTCTAAAAGCAGTTGGAGTCAGCCACTGATGAGACAGTAACAAAGAACTGCATCTTCAGTGTGCCCATCACTGTGTATAACACCAGTCACATAAACATCCACATTTCCGACTTAGAACACAACCAATATTGTTAAAATACCCACCACTTTAGAAGGAAGTTTCTGAAACAGTTCACTTATGAGGCGTCCTGATGGGTTTGTGGCAACAGCTACAGCTTCAAGAAGCTGTTCAAGAATTTCCTTCAAGTAACCTGGAGGTGACTAACAGAAGAAATGAAATCACAAGAAGTTTTAATAGCAGACACAGTGAAGTGCTTAAAATTGCACTCAAATACACGAATTTACTTTTCCATGACAGAAAATATCAGCTATAAAACATGGATGCAACTGTTCAAAACAACAGTGTTTATGTAAAGCACATGAGAAAACTTCAATTTCCCAATTACACTGCAGACTGTCAGACATACACTGTATTGCTAGAACAGACTTGGCTGTCAACTTGAATGAAAACATCCTAACATCTCAAAAACCAGACAAGCCAAAACTTCCTATCATCCTATCTGGCTTATCACCATCATCACGGCTAGACTTCGCAAACGAAGATCAGGGAAGGGCACTATCCACGCTTGCTGCAAGCGCGCTCATGGCTAAAAAGGCCAATGTGGGATAGGCAAGTCTGGTTGCAAAGGGCACAGTGGAAAGTCTCCTTAGGCGGTTTTGGGAAGGCGCGGTTCTTTCTGTGTTGCCTTTCCTCCTCCAGACTGATTCTACGTGCGTTCTCAAAGGAGACAGCAGCATCATGAATGGTGTGTCTCCATGTCGATTGGAGGCCAGGGTGGACCCCTGATGGCAGTCAGTATGGCCAAAACTGAGGTATTGTTTCAGAGAGTCCTTGTATCAACTCTCTGAGGCTCCTCTCTTGTGGCAGCCTGTGGCGAGTTCACCATGGAGCACAATCTTAGGGAGGTGATGATCCTTCATCCTGGAGACGAGCCCTGCCCAACGTAGCTGCGTCCTCAGCAACATGGCCTCAATACTGGTGACCTCTGCCTGTTCAAGGACAGTGACATCGGTCACATAGTCAGTCCAGTGGATGTTTAGGATTGTACGGAGGCAGCGCTGATGGAAGCGTTCGAGAAGTCGCAGGTGGTGGCGTTAGATGACCCATGATTCAGACCCGTATAATAGAGTAGACAGCACAGTGGCTCTGTAGACACTAATCTTTGTCCTTTTCTTCAGGTGATTATTGCACCAGACTCTTTTATGGAGTTTTCCGAAAGCTCTGTATGCCTTTGCTAACCTGCTGTCTATCTCTTTGTCAGTCTTACCATTCGAGGAAATGGTACTTCCTAGGTAGTTGAACTGCTGGACTGACTTAAGCTCCGATTTGCCTATGGTGATGTGGGGGTGATGGAAGACTTCCTGAGGTGCAGGTTGGTAAAGAACTTCTGTCTTCTTCAAGCTGACTTCCAGCCCAAAAAGCTCAGCAGCCTCTGCAAAGCAGGATGTTAAGCACTGCAGAGCTGCTTCCGTATGAGCAACGAGGGCAGCATCGTCAGCAAAAAGCAGCTTGCAGTCAAGGTGATTCAGGGTTTCAGTGTGGGCCTTCAGTTGCCATAGGTTGAACAGGCTCCCATGGGTACGATATCAGATGTAAATGCCGTTATCTTCATCAAGGTTTGCTGTGGCCCCGGGGAGC